TGTTCTCTATTAAATCTTCTACCGTCATTCTTTGCAAATATTTCATTTATCTTTTCGAATGAATGAAACACATTTCCATTAATCGGTTTAGTGTTTGGCACCAAATAGTTAGTCGTCATTTATTAATAAAATAAAAAATCGAAATTAAAAGATGAAAATGAATTTTTAATTTTAATGAAATAATCAACTATGGCTGCAGGATTCTTTAAGAAACTGTGGGATAAAGTAAAAGAGAGAGCGCATAAAGTTTGGGAAACAATGAAGAAAGAGCAAATTGGATATTTTAAGAATAAAGAAGCAATTAGTGACGTTGCTGAATCAATAACACCAAAAGCCGCCCCAATAAGAGAAATATTAAATAAAGGAGAAAAGTTTATCAAAGACTTCAACCAATACTAAGATAAAAATAATATTTATTTATTTTTCCACTATCTACCTCCTATTTTATTAAGTATTCCTTCAGCAATTCACCAATTGCGTTACCTGCTTGTGCTCCCATCGCCGATTACCTGCTTTAGTACCTAATACTCCACCTATGATAGTTCCTGCGCGTTTTCGCTACTGGTGCCAAAAAGTTTGCAACAGGTTTAATAATATTTTTATGAACCCAACCTGCAGCTTTCTTAATTCCATCCCATAATTTTTTAAAGAATCCTGCCGCCATTTCTGATTTAATATTAATTAAAAAATATATTTCATCACTTATATTCTAATTTTTATTTAATGATAAATGAAACCGATTTAAAAATAAATGAACAGAGAGGAAGAAAATAAATGAAAGTGAAAATGTCAACAAAAAATAAACGTTGTTAAACCAATTACTGAAATATTCGAAAAGTCATTTGTTTCGTCTAGTACTCTTTTTTGAAATGAATAAATTTGCTTTATTTATTGCTGATTTTGTAAAATCTTTTTGATCTTGTACTAGTTTTTCAAATATTCCAGCAGATTTTCCATATTGACCGCGAGTGAATGCCTCTTTCGCAGTTTGGAAATCATCCATTTTAAATATGAATGGTAAAATATGAAATATTAATTTTCAATATATAGGAAATGATTAGATACTTTTCAAGTTCAATTGCAAAAATTTTTGTAAATTACAAATATTGAATCAAATCATGAACTTGATTTCAATGTGACTCCTTCAAAGATGATTTCACCATTCAATGCAATAAATTTGATGCTTTTAATTTTTTTATTGGTGCATAATGAAGAGCTGTTGAACCAAGTTTATCTTTTACAATGAAACTGAGAGATTTAGTTTTGGTTATGGACATCTCCAAGGTTATAAAGGCCTAAATGAAATTACTATAGAGAATGGAGTCATTGTAATTAGCTCAATATGTTTTTATGGAATACATATTTCTAATACATTAAAAAATATTAGCCTCAATACTTTTGCATCTTGTTTTAATCTGTTTGCTGTAACTATCCAAGATCAGTTATAAGTCCAGGGAGTAGATGTTTCTCCCCGCATACCAACATTACTTTTGTGGAAGGATCTCAATTCATTCTAGATGATCAAAATCTAACGTATTATTCAAGAAAAGTTCTGTCTTTACGTCTGAGCGAGAAAGAATCATATACAATTCCAGAAGATGTTGAAATAAATGATAACAGTGTTGCCATTAATAATCTATAATTTATGATGGAGAATCAAAGCTTAAGACTATAAATTCAGAAGCATTCGCTTACTGCAAAAATCTAACAAATATATTTTTTCCGAATTCACTTGAAGTAATCAACTCGAACGCCTTTGTTTCATGTGCAATCAGAACGATTAAATTCGGAAATAAACTAAAAGCAATATTTGGTTCAGTTTTTTACGAATGCACGAGTCTTGAAACAATCGAATTTTCTGAATGCGAAAATACAGTAATTAGAGATAAAACTTTTTGCAAATGCAAGAATTTCAAAAATATTATTTTCTCAAACAATATTACATTGATTCATAAATCATGTTTCGTGGATTGCTTATCATTAAGGGAAATTGCTTTCCCATCGTCGTTAGAGATTATTGAAACTTATGCTTTTGCGAACACTGGAATAACTAATATTACATTTCTAACTGACTCTAATCTGAAATCTATTGGATGGGCTGCTTCAGCAAATGCAAAAATCTTTCGTATATCACACTCCCTCCAAATGTCGAACAGATCGGATCTAATTGCTTCGAGAACACGAACATCACAACGTTCACAATTCCAAACAGAGTATATGGCAGACTACGTCTTCAAAGGATTCATAAATCAAGTCAAGTTCACAATTCCAGAAGGCTACTCTCTGCAAAACATCAGTAACTTGTTCTTCGAGGGATGTTCTTCTCTCGCTCTATCATTGAGTGTCCACGAAGTGACTATTTTGCAGTTAATGTCGGAGCTCTTTACAACAAGTCAGAGATAGTCCTCTTCTGCTTCCATCCGGCTTCAAAGATAATTTTTTTAATCTTCCACAGACTCTACGACTCCGTGATGAACATCAAACAATATGCGTTTGCAAACTGTTCTTCATGGACAACGATCAACATCCTTAAGTGCGTGGAGAACGTCGAGAGTTCTATCTTCTTCATCTGTGATCATCTCAGATGTGGTGTAATCATCGAGAATAGGACTATCTCTTTCATTCGTAAAATCATATCTGAATGTCTTCTTAACCCTAAAGTGATATACCCCTGCGACTCCCATACATGTCAATGCAGAATCATCAACACTGAAATCACACAATCATTTCTCATATAGAATAGTATGTAAATGAAATTAATTTGAGAAATCAGAGTTTACTAAGTTTTTGTGTTTAATAAATATAAATTATAGATCACTTGCTATTACTGAAATAATTACACATGAAACCGCAGCTGGTGGCGACGATTTACTTGTTGTATGGACTTTTAGATTTTGACACGTTAATTTTTTGCAAATTTTTTTTCACATTTATCGAGGTTTCATTTTTTACAATTCTCCCAAATAATAGATTTTCAAATATGTGTAATTGTTGGCATTTTTTTTAATGAGTTTCGACCATCAATATTATGCAAATCACATTGATGAATGGTGTGAAGATAGTGAGTGGATTGAATTAAGAACACTAGATCAACTAATTAAAGTTTTAGATATCTCAAAACTTAACCAAGAACAATTTTTATCATTTTTCGACATTGTTTCTTTCTTTTTTGGAAAACGATATAAAATAAAGATGCTTGAACATACACATCTTGACAAGGTCAACGATTTACCATCAATTATGTCTATTTTAAAATTTTTAGGAGAATTCTTATGTTTTCCATTTTATTCTGAACTATTAAGAGCAGTAAACACAATAATTCAAGGGTATGATTCTAGAATTACCCAATTACAAGCAGAACTCCGAACAAAAGACAAAATAATTAGAAATTATGAAAATTTTATTCCAGAAAAAACAGAAACAAGTGAACAAAACACAAATGCATTAAAAAATTTAAAGAAAATAACCAAGAACTATCATCAAATTTATTATATTCTAGAAAAAGCAGTAAAAGAAAGAGATTTATATACAATTAAATATTCCGTTGATGAAGGTTATTATGATGTTAGAGATAATACTTTTGCATTTGATATGATATTTCGTGCATCAAAAGAAAATAATTTAAAGTTAGTTAAATTATTTCATATATATGGAGCAAATCTTAAAATCCGAAATAATCGCAATGAAACAATTCTTCATAATTTTAGTAAAAATGGAAACGTAGAAGGTGTTAAATTTTCATTGAGATTCGTTGACGTCAATGAAAGAAATTGTAATGGACAAACTCCACTTCATTGGGCTGCTCTTAGTAACAATCCCCACGTTTGCGAATATCTCTTACAACAACCGAATATTGACAAAAGCCCCAAAGACTATTATGAGGACACCCCATTAAGTTTTGCAGACAGATTTGAAAAATATCGATCACGTGAAGTATTAACAAGATATGGTTGCACAAAATAATATAAACATTTCGTAAATGAAATAAACGGAATAATTATTTTAAAAATGCGGAAAATTTGAATGCGTGGAAGCAAATTTTTGTTCACAATAATTATTGTAAGCACTCAAATTAGAAGCAAAAATTTCAGACATTTTATTGGCCCCTTCATGGATGTAACATAAAATCTTCAAATATTGTTCAGCATTAGATAATTCCAATTCTTTTGCAAAAACTTATATATAATTTAATTTTTATGTTTTTAGTTGCGATTACTTTTTTTTGATGATGATAATAATTGCCAAAAGCTTATACATGCTTAATTATTGTTTGAACATGAATCATTTAACTTTATTTTACAGAATGAAATGTTTCATTTTTATAGAGCACCATACTTATTCATTATTGTCATCGTCATTACTATCATCATTAATGTCATCGTCACTGACATCATTATCACTCTGATCATAAATATGGTCATCATTACTGTCATCATTATCTCAATAATCATCATTAATGCCTTGACAGAAAAGAACAAATTGATGTAAAGTTTTTCCAAATTAATTATTAGCGGATCATTCTAGAGTGGAAAAATAGTAAAAAAGACGATCAAAATTCACTCAATTTTTCACTTTTTTCTGCATTGACACGGGCTCATGCGCTTCGCTTGGAGCTCCAGAATGAAAACCCTGCCTTTTTAAAGCCGATAAACTAACTTTTATCATAAAGAGTGGTAATATCAAAGCACTTTTATCTTGATATTAGTTGATATAATTTTTAATTGAAAAAAAAAGGCGAAAAATTGAGTTATATTTGATCATCTTTTTTACCTTATTAGCTTTGATATCTGCACCATGTGAAATAAGAACTTTTGCTGTTTCTTTGCTGTTATTGATTGCTGCTTTCTGAAGTGGAGGTTCGTTAGCTTCATTTTTATTGGAACTCTGGGTCTAAAAGGCGATAAAACTCTTTTAATCGCATAATATCAGATGAGAGAGGGTCAAAGTTGCTATTTGTCACTTTTCCACAAGAATATAATGGGGAAAAAGTTATCATATAGTTTATTTTCATTTTCACGATTTCACCCGGAAATCCGACGGTTATTTAAGAGTAAGCACTTTTGGCACCTACTCTAATATCAGATTAAGTTTTTCGGGAAAATTATAAAATATATTATAATAAATGTTATAACTTTGTGCCCAAGGAAAATACAAAAAAAAATAAAAAAAAACCGTAATTTTTATAATAAATAAAAAATAAAACAAATAAAATAAAAAATTATAATAAAGAAGAGAATCTCATTCCTATATAAGTCAAATCTCTCTGTTGTGCAGAGTACACAGAGTATCTATCATTTGTATACGATCTACTCAATATATAAAAAATCAAACCTCTTTGACCAGACTCAGTATTCATTTTTGTCACAGAGTTGAGAGGTTCAATGTTGATGTTGTCCAGCAACAATTTCGATCTCCACGCCCACTTCACGTACAAAGAAGCAGTTACACCGAAATTATCTTTCATCGGCTCAAACAATGTTGCCAAAACATCCTGGATGAAATTCATAATTGTCACAATTCTTTTGTGTTTTATCGGTTCTTCAGAAATCATCAGATTCATCAATCCCGCGTCCAAACCACTGAAGAAACCACCGAGCATTGACATCATGTTCTCTTTGCTGATGTGGTTAACTAATTGGTCGGCTCTTGTTTCAATGAATTGGGTGCATTTTTCGAACAAATCATTGAAAAACATTGATCCGCGGCTGCTGAACTCAGGATGTAATACTTTCTTCGATGCCTTCTTGATAAAGATCTTCTTAAATGATGAGTTCTCGACCCATAATCGCTTGGAAACATAGTCATAAACTTCGTATTCAATTAACGATGAAAAAAGTGACGGAATTACATTCATTATATCGTAGACATATGGGACAGGGTCTAATAGATGTTCTGGGACAGGCGCTGCACCGATTAATGGTCGGAAATTCTGGACAAAACACTCCCATTTCGGTTTGATCATGGAAAAATCGTTGATCATCACATACATCTGCTGAGGAGTCGCGGATTCGATGTTGTAGCTCTCAACTTGCTTCATCGCGGACAAAACATATTGGTTATCGGTAGTTTTGACGATTATATCTTTAGGAAAATATTTTATGATCCGATAAGTCAATAATTTCGTGTACAACCTTAAGCAACCATCACAGGATGCGATGTACGTAAGTATGATCTCAACGATATTCTTGTTTTTCCACTTCAATGACTTGACAAAAGAAAATGATTGGGAAAACATCGTCATTAAGTCTCCAATTGAAGTGGAAGTCATCTCGCTGTCATTGTCAACTTCGAATGTGTCGATGTCGACTGCTCTTTGCGTCCATTCGATCAATCTCCCGGAAATTGAGGAAATCCACTCCAAAACAATGTCGAAAAACAGTTTGTAAGGGCTGTACTCGGGGCCGAACTTAAGGAACTCCCAAACTTCTCGATATGCTAATACAAACTTAAAAAGAGCTTTGTCATTTAATTGTATCGGCAATTTCAGGAAAACTTTCACCAAATAGATGGAAAGAGTCTGGAATAACTCAGTATCGCCGGATATCGTTCTGAAATCTGCAGGAACTACGTTGTTTTCGTAATAAGTTTTGACAAATTTACTTCTCTGCGAAATAATTGACATAGAATCAGCCAAACCAGTAACACTGAAGGTAAAGTTCTTCGGATCATTCAATCCTTCAATACTTCCTGTAGATGCGGTTGAATTCCTTGTATTTCGCTTGTATCCCTTCACGTATTCCCACAAAACCATCGCTTCGTCTGTTGTTGGGCTGTCTGACTCTACTGGCTTAAGGGTGACGAATATCGACTTTACAAAGTACGATTTCGCTTCTTTCAAAAATTTGTCAAGTAAAGTTCTGAAATCAGAATCAACGATAAGGCCTGTCAAAGTTAAAAGTGACATGAGGCTTGATTTTTCGTATCTTACTGGATTTTTGAGTCTGTTGTAGAGCTCGAGGGGCACTTTCTTTTGCATATCGTTTACAATGCCATTGAAAGTGTCTTTAACTGTTTCCGTTGACTTACATAACTCTATTGCGTTCCGAGTGACCATAAACAAGACAGTGAATGCGTTTAAGTAACTTTCGGCATCACACCATCCTTCGTAGAGCTTCCGGAGAATCAAAACAAAGACAGTTGTGGCAGGTATCGCATGTCTCATGGAATAATCGATTATAGCAATGAAAAAGTCTTGCGGAGGGACTAAGGACATTCTTCCTGACGTTCTTGTCCAATCAATTACTAGTTTCGTAGTCATATAATCTAATAAAACGTAAAGATCGACAGAATCGTCCGAAATCTGAGATTGGTTGATAGGAACACCATCAGACTTCATGATTATTGCACCAATATTCACTTCTCCGCATAAAATACTGATTAATTTTCCATGTTTTTTGAATTTCTCTGTTTTTGTGTAATCTTTTGATACTCCTGATATTAGAAATGTATACAGTACTCTATAAGCATTAGCATCTGCTACTTGGAATGGAGTATCTTTTCTTTTTTCCGAAATATAGTAAATTGTTCCAGAAATGTCTTGTGGTTTGTCATAAAATGGTAGTGCAAACTCTGCATAGCCTGATGACAAGCTAGCGCGTATTGTATAGCCGAGATATGTAAATTCGACAAAAGCGGAGTTGCTAACTTGAGTATTTTGGAATTTCTGATCCCAGGTGACTTTGATTCTGAAGTGGATGTTCCCTGTTGGCGGAGATTTGGCTATCATCTCTCCAACTTTTTGAGATAAAGATATTAAGTTTTGTTCGGCATCTTTGAACATTTCTTTTGTGGAACTAAATGATTTAGTCCATGTAGATTCGTATGTATTCGCCTGTTGATGCAAATATGTATTGAACATGAGATAATTTGTTGTATGTCCGATTTTTGATTGTAATTCATCAAGAATTTGTTGGGTTGCGCCTGTCTCTTTTATAACATATGCTCTGACTTCATCGGATAAGTATTTGGTGCCTCTGCCGATGTATGAAGTCAATGAAGCTTCTCCAAGGGCATCTTCCACAATATCTGTAATGAAAGTCTTATCTTCAGCCTCAACACTATCAATAATCGACTTAATTTCCATGTAAACATCAAAAAAAGTGATTTTTGAAGCTAATGTTCGGATGTTAGAAAAAACTATGACAATAAAACTGGAGAGAACAGGCTGTTCTGATTGTAATGCAGGCAATAGGGTGCCTGGCGATTCAAATATAGCTTGAAGAAATTTGAATAATGACAAAGGAGTCATTGTTTCTTCACCAAGACGGTTCAGGCTAGGAGCTCTCGAGTATTTAGAAAAATAAGACATATAGACTGGAACGTCCTGACTAATGATGGAAAAATCTTCTGCGAAAACTGCTCCAAATGGCGTCAAAGCACCGGTTTCGGAGTCAAAAAGCGTTCCAAACAGTGGAACAGCCATGTCGTGAACTAATAATTCATAGTGTAATGGTGATAAATTTCTCAGAAAAGTTGAAATATTTGCTTTGCCTTTTTCTAAAGATTTTTCTTCTGATATCTGCTCTTCATTATTAGCACCTTCTACAATTTCATTTGCCATCTCAAGGAGCTCCTCAAACATGTTGTTCTCCATGAGTATTGACTTGAAACAGAAATTGGAAAAGAACTTTTTTTTGACAATTCAGTCAAATTTTTGAATTTGAGTTCAAATAAAAATCGTTAACCTTCATGTAAAATTCGATTTATCAAAAATAAATATAAAAAATATTTATTCCTATTTATGAGATCATAAACTTGATAGATATTCTCTAACTCTATCAGTTGCAACGGATAGAGGTGTCTTTCCATCTTTTGTTTTAATGCTCTTATCAGCTCCAATAGAGATTAGATATTCAACCATTTCAAGATTATCAAATTTTGATGCAATATGCAATGGGGTATATCCATTTTCTGATTTTGCATTTTTATCAGCTCCTATTGAAATGAGGTATTTTGCTAACTCTTCATTGAATGAATGCATGTCTGAAGCAAGCAAATGTAATGAGATCATTCCATCATCAGTCTTTGGAGCTTTATTAGATGCAACTTCAAAAATATATTTAGTTTCATCTTTATCATTAAGTTGAAGAAAGTCTATAAATCTATTATCAAACTTTGCATCTTTGTCAACTCCAATTGAATTGAGATATTGAATAATTTCAAGTTTTTTAGAAACTAATGCGCAATGGAAAGGAGTAACACCAGAAACTGCTTTTGCATCTTTATCAGCTCCAATAGAGATAAGATATTGAACAATTTCAAGATTATTTGAGGCGGCAGCAACATGAAGTGGAGTAACATCAAATGCAGTTTTTGCATTTTTATCAGCTCCAATAGAGATAAGATATTGAACAATTTCAAGATTTTGTGAAGCCGCAGCAAAATGCAATGGATGAATTTCTTCATTATCCAAAACATCATTAATGCCTTCAAGAATACTTTCATCTTCATCACCAAAATGTAATAGAAAAGCTCTTATATTTGCTTTTGCATCTTTATCAACCCCAACCGATATTAAGTATTTAACGAGTTTAAGATTTCCATCTAGAATTGCAATATGGAAGATAGTAAAGCCATGAAAATTCTTTTGGCAGAGACCTTCTTGAATGGCTTTCGAAATCATCTTTCTTCGACTTTCTTTTGATAAATTATCAAAGAATTTATAAATTTCACTTATATCATCAGAATTTTTCAGTGTATCGATTTTCGATAGAATTTCTTTTGAGCCAATGAAGCGGGGATTCTCTGGACAGGTCATTTTTGCTCTTACCAAAGAATCATGGAAGGATTTGACAATATAAATGCAGTTATTTTCATTAGTTAAATTTTGTAATTCATCCAAAATTTGTTCACTACAAAACTCGAATTTAATGTATTCAAGAAGTGGATAGAAAATTTCGCTTTCTTTGGTAAGAGATATGATGCTACTGGCAATAGAATCTTCATCATCTATAACAAGCTTTTCATTTCTTATTATATTTTGAAGAATTTCGAATCCAAGTGTTTTCGATTTTTTTATGAGTTCATTCTCATCAATTGAATAAAAATGTGAGGAAATAAAATCAACACATTCTGTTATCTTTTCCTCTGATGAAATTTGTATATAAAATTCGAGCAAATGAATGCAATTATCTTCGTCTATTTTTGTTTCATCAATGACGTACTGTTTATATAAAGAAATTAATTCTTGTATATCTAGATCGATTCCAATATGTAAAAGATCAACCAAAAGTATTTGATCATTTTCAAATTCTGCTTTTCCATTTTGAAGTATTTCATTTAATATATTTAATGCTTTAGGAGATCTTATTTCAGTGATAATGCTTATTTTTGAAATGCTTTTATCTAATTGGAATTTGTCGGAAATTTTTTCTGAAATTGCAACTGCAACAGATTTATTGATTAAGAGCTCGACATTATTGATTGATAATACAAATTTTTCATGCGTACTCAAGTTATTGATTCTCCGAATCATCGGGCAATCAAACTTAACATATTCCATCTTTCCAAAATTGCAGGCAAATTTATTTTCTGAATGCCTTCTTAAGGATACCCTTACGTGTCAGATTTTTTGCGCATACGAAGAAGTCATGCTAGACATGAGCTATAAACCTTAAATTTTAGCAACATATTTAAAACTTTTTAAACTACAATACACTTTAATATTCAAGAACAAAAAGATTCTTTTTAGAAATTACATAATTATTTTATGTGAAATCTATATAAAAACATATTTTGCGAGCGTAACTTTTTTCTTTATAAGCACCTTATATGACTGATAAACTGTGAAGGCACATAATTGTTAATTCATAGAGTTGATATGTTTCCAAAATTGAGAGGAAATTTGAAAATTGAATACCCTTTCAATTCAATTTTCAAAAGATATCAGCTCCTTCAATAATTGAAGGACGATTTTGATCATTTGCTCTTAAAACAAGTATGCCATGGAGAAAAAAGTTACGCTCGCAAATCTGAAATATAACTATCATATAAAAAAATTAAATTTCTAATTTTTTACTCTATAGATATTATTGGCCACTTGTGTAATGCATAAAAGTTTATGTCATATGCATACATTTGGAAGTATGGGAGACGAGGGAAATTACTTCTATGAGGCACTAGGATTTTTAAAAATTTCTCTATCGGACTCACTATTCAATTTCTCGAAAATTAAAAAAAATCAATAATAGCTAAAATGTATTATGCATAACAAATTTTAATGTTACACAAAAAAAGGTAGTGGGGCTTCCAGGCGCGTTGCGCCCTCTAGCCCATAAAAAATTTCTGAGGACAAGCCAGCCGTTGACTTTTTTGTAGAGCACTCAAAATAGTATAACTTTGTCCGGACAAGTAAGGGTCTATCGTCGCTACAGGAAAAGTTACAGGCGTTCCAAGGAAGTATACTTTGAGAAGCCTTTTCCCCCTTATAGAATGAGATAGGACGGTTATTTTACAAAACTGACAACACTTTGACCGAGTAGTTTTTTGTGCTGAACAAAAAGTGTCATATAAACATCTGTCGAAAACCGCTTTTTAACTTCACTTAAAATGCCACGTAAGTTACGTAAGAATATACGTAAGAGGAAGGGAGCATTGAAACATCCAATAGTAAAACTGACACCACAACAACAGTTGCAACAACAAATGATGAATGACCCCACTATGTTGCAACAAATGTCAAGCAACCCTATGCTTTTAAACCGAGTTATTGGTGCACAGAGTGGAGGTTTAAGAGCGGCACTTTTAGCGAAAATGGCAGGCTATGGTGGAGCTGCAGACGGAACAGCTTATAACCCTCAAAGTCAAATGAATTTGAGTTCACTCAAAAATCAAATAACAGATGTCAAAAAGTCAAACATAGACATACAGAAACAAATAAGTGAAAACGAAAAGAAACTAGAATATGACAGACACACAAAGAAACTCAATGAGTTAAACGTAGAGAAAAAGAAGAAAGAAGAACAACTGAAAGAACTAAGTACAGAGGAATATGCGAAAAAAGTGTCAGAAAAAGCAGCAGAAGTAGCAAAAATGGAACAAGATGTTGTAAATTTGAAAAACCATACTACTCAATATAAAGTACTGAAAGATGAAGAGATAAAACAAAAAGCCATGAAGACATATATGGATAGCGATGAGTATAAAAAAGAAGTTGAAGCAAATGTAAAGGCAGAAAAACTTTTACAGTTGCAAAACCAAACCGTACAGTATGAAAACTTAGCACAAGAAAGTAAAAATAACGACGCAGCCATGCAAAAGGCAATGAAAAGTGCAGAATATATAAAAGCTAATAATGACTGGTTAGATGCCCAAGCCAACGCTAAAGCAGCCCAACTTATAGGGTCAATAAGGACAAAAATACAAGCGGATGAAGACAGTTCAAATGAAGCTTTAATGAATGCTGACTTTAAGAACGCCTTCGAAGCTCTTCATGGTAAGGTGAAACTAGTGAACGACTTCTCATCTGGAAAGAAACTGAAGTCTGAAGGTTTCGACAAAGAGTTAAGAGAAGTAGCACAAAATATGACGAAAATAACAGATGCAGCAACGAGACAGGCAGTTCAAAGTGCCTATGACGCCGTTAGAGCAACTGTTGTGGAAAGTCAAGAAAAAGAGTTACAACAGACCAAAACAGACCTAGTAAATGCTTTCTTAAGAACGAAAAGTCAGGTAGGACATTACGCTGCAGATGGAACATATGTGCCAGCTGGTGGAACTTATATACCACCAAACCCTCCAAGAGAAGCACCTGCACCAGGACTACCTAAAACATTTACATCGTCACATGGACACAGACACAGGCATGCACCAAAACCAACACAACAACCAACAGTTCAAAATCCAGCACCACAACAACAACCAAAACCAACAGTTCAAAACCCTGCACAACAACCAACAGTTCAAAACCCTGCACAACAACCAACAGTTCAAAATCCAGCACCACAACCAAAACCAGCACAACAACCACCTCCACAACCAGCACAACAACCATCAGTTCAAAACCCTGCACAACAACAACCACAAACAGAGCAAGGACATAAAAGAAGTAGAGAAAAAGGAAACCAAGAATTCTTAAAAATGCTTAAGGAAGATTATGGTTACCCAGATACTCTTGACTTTAGTGACAGATATAAAGAAGCTATTAGAAAGTTCAAGGAAGGAAATACTGACCCGAACCTATTTAGCTTTATGGCTCAGCATCAAATCGGATATAATCTCAAACCTGGAAAATACAAGCTCGCTAAGGGATATGATTTAATAGCATATCATCCAAATGACATGGATGAATTTACTCCGAGATATTTGATGTCAGAGCTAAATGATAATTCAACTCTCTTCATGAAACGCGTAAAAAATAGAGACGGAACAAAAGAAGAAAGGTTTATGAGTCCGGATGACTTAGATAGGGAACTTGTTAAAAACGGTCTCGGAATATATGAAATGCCAGCAGATGAGGTACAAGAAACTCAACAGGAAGAAGTTCAGATACAACCAGACATGGAAGAAATAGTTCAGCAACAACAGCTAGAAGAGCCTGAAGGAAACGAACAAGTCCCTCCTTTGGAAACTAACTTCACAGAACTAGATGAAGATTTGGAACAGCCGAAAAATCTTGACCCTCAACAAGAGTATGAGGTGAATATGGAATCTTTCCAAGAGTCTAAGAAAATTCGGCTGACATAGTAGAAGAATATCGAAAAATGTTCACCGACATACAAAAGACTCCAACATCAGATGAAAATATTCAGCATAGAATGGAAGTACTGAAAGAAAATGTACGCAAATACAATAATCCTTTTTACTTACGACCATATAACGTTCAATCTTTGGCTGAACTCGGTGAAAATAAAAGGTTAAATTTCAACAAAACATATAGAAATGAAACATTGTTTAAAGTTCATTCAGAACCTAACCAATATGGAAACAAACCTACTTTTGTTTCTGCAGACTATGGAACTACAATGAAATGGGGTCATAAAGCTAATCCGGATAGGTGGTTCATAAACTTACAACCTCAATTCCAAGAAGTTGTAGACGCAATGGAAGTGAATGGTGAACCAGATATAACGGTATTTTCAGCGCGGCTTTAATGCCATTGAAAGATATGAAAGATGCAGATATTTTGGACCAGTATGAAATGAACATGGCTGATGGAAATATAACACCTGACGTTCTAGAACATTTATCTCAAAGAACTACACAGAACCATAGAGATGGTATATTTGGTGAAGAGTTTAGAAAGAAAGTTAGGGAGAGAGAAGGAAGAGAACCTATTGTACATGACCTTGCAAACGAAAGTTTGCAAAATGTCATAAAAACTTACTTTGCAGACAATGAACTGAGAAGGATGAATATTTAAGAAAACTCAAATGGACAGTACCAAATGAAATGTTAGTATTGAAAAACATGTTCCTTGACAAAATAAAACCAACTACAGAAATAAATGACGCAAGACTGAAACATTGGTAAAAGCTTTCCCATTCACAAAAGATATTATTGGTTACATGGAAAGAAAACCAGAATGGCTAAAAACATATATTTGGAAACGAGCTTATTCCATATGGACAAGCTTTGTTTGAAGAGCTTGAACCGGAAACTCAGGAAAGAGTCATGCAAACAATAAGCGAAGACTCAAATACAAACTATGACAAATCTTTCTAGGATATTAGGTTACCTGAGATGGCGACCAGAGCCCAAAGCAAAAAGGACATGTGAAATTTACAACATACTAGGTGAACATGAGGCAAAGATGCAACAACTTGAAGCAGAGGGCAAGTTACAAAAGCGACACCAAAGAAGAAGAGAAGAGTAGAACAAAGTGAAAGTAGTGAAGAAGTAACTTCATCTAGTGAAAGTAGTGGCAATGAAGGAAAAAGAAGAGTAAAAACTCAGTCAGGAAGAAAGTAAAGCTTGGTCCGAAACAATTATGACAAATAAATTCAACTATTCTATATTTTTACCCATATGAAATGTACGCCGCTCAGAATATAACGCCAACAGTTTTGGATGCCATGAACGGAAATGTTTCCGAATGGTATAACGAATGCGACAATGCCATTAGAAGGTCAGAAATAGTTCCTGGAACTTACGAATATACAACTGCTGTTTCTTATGGAAACGTAGGTGAGTTTGGAGAAGGTTCTTCAACAACAGTAGATATTGCTTGCGACAGGTTTCATATTATTTCTATTGACAACTCATTCTTATACGTGGAACAAGACATTGAAATAAAACCTTCTGCCAAGTTGTCTGACAAGAAAGGTTGCAATGGAATTTTCTATGTCGGATACCAATATGCTCCAGAAGTTTTCATGGGATATAAGATATATTCTAACTCTGACTTAGTTCAAACAGTAACATGGGCAAACTATGAATGGTTCGCTTTGAGAAACTCAGTACAACCACAAGCTAGAGAACAAACAGACCAGTATGCAAATATTGAAAAAATAAGAAGACTTGACCCTAACGTTCCAGGAGTTTATGTTAACCTTTCTGGTTCAG